CACTTTACTTCCATTCAACACATTAACTTTGTCTAATTTATGTAAATAATACATCATATTCTTGACATTAATCAACAACGCCATCAATAAACACTGGAGAAAGTATGTATTGTGGTAGGATCAAGAAAATGAACTGTAAATTTATTATCCCGTTTCAGATACAACGGAGACCATCTTGCGACATGTTGGTTTGATTCGATTGGATGGTCTTAGAGTGGAAGATGGCTTTCGTTACATTGCTCCAGAAGTACTCATGCTTGTAACCTCAATTGCTGTGTATGTTAGTAGTACAAAACTGTCAGTGGAAAGTACACAAAGCCGTGCCTCTTCAGCTAGTGCCCCATCAACAGCTGCCATTCTTCCGCCAGTACCAAGCACTGCTGCATATCGAAATCGACGCAAGGCCTTTTTTATCACAATAGGTACGTTGTGTGCAGTTTGCTATTGGATAATTATGTTGATTGATAACATTGCATATAGAGAGGGAGGCTATATATGAGGATTTTTTCTTAGTATATGATAATATATTATATGTGAAATTGTTTACAAAAGATATTTAATCCTACCTTTTCTGTATTTTAAGGCAGATTTCTCTCTCCCTCTCCCTCCAGACCTTAAGGGACATATTTACCCTTACTTGTTGGCTTGCAGGCTACAAGACCGTAAGTGAGAACGGTTTATTGACACTTTATGGCAGTTTATTAAAATTACTGCTAACTTGCTATTACAAACAAATTCATGTATTACCCAATAATTTTCTTTAACAAACCAGTCATGAGTAAGATATTTGACACAGCTTTTACCTGAGTAATCAATCTTTCAATATCAGATTTAATTTATGCTGTTGTGATTCACTTGCTTTGCTCCGAGTGTTCATCAGGGAGACATGTCAATGTTTTTGATTTGACATTCGTCATCAAGATATATAGTTAACAGCAATAAATATAGCCAATACTGATGATATTAACAAGAGGTGTGTTTTGATATAAGGCATTTTCCATCAAGTAGGCTTTGCATTACAAAAAATGTATGTGGGTCATACAAAACATATTAGTGGTTTACAAGTTGAGAGCCCATGTTTTAGTTTTTATTTAATTTGTAACAGGGCATCTTTCTGCATTTTTCATATACTTGAACTAGAAATTAATGTAAAGAAGAATTTATTCAGACATCTCTTTTCAGGTAAATGTCTTGCACTGACATCGCTATGCTTGGCAGGCATATTGCAACCATCTGTTCTAAATGGAGTCTACTTTCTTGCATTCCTGGGAGGTATGACATGGTGGTCATGCTACAAGGAACTGCATCGTCCATTTGGCCTGGTGCTAAATTGTGTTCAGGTGTTGGCTGCATTGCATATCATGGCACTGTTTATTGTTCAACTACAGTGGGTTCAAGAATTTCTCACATCTGACTGTAATTATTGCAGGTTGGTAACATTGAAGATAAAACCCCAACCTTATTCCTGTGAACCTTTAACATGGGTTTTCATATTTGATTGACAATCTGTTAAGATAATTATTTTCTACAATAGTTTTGCCTATGTAGGGTTAACATTGTAAAATGTTTACTTATAAATTTAACAATAGAAATTTCTGAATGTGTAGCACATACTGTCTTGCATCTAGAACACTGTGATATCAGGCTTGAATTACTTGGAATTTGGATACATGTTAAAATTTTTGTATGTTGGCTTCTCTGCAAGTAGAGGCCTTATGATAGGCCAATCCTCCAAATCCTAAGGCTTCATTATTTTAGGGAAAAAAGGTCATAGAGCCTAATGTAAAGAATAATGTTCAAAGTAATGTTTAATACTTTGTCTCTGCATACAATTTTAATTTAGTGCTTGTGGACTCAGTGTTAAAGTCAGCATCTGCCAGGTCTGCCAGATTAATGTAGAAGGTAGAAGACAACTTCCATGTAAAGATTTACCTTCTTATCTAGTGCTGTTGTCCCTGAACTATGAATTAGGAACTGCTTTGGGTTACTCAGAATGCTTTAGGGGGCTTATCATAAAATATTCATAACAGTGGCACATTCTGTATAGTGATGAAGTCTCTGGCAGGGATTATTATGGATAGACAGTTGATGTCAATCCTGTATGATTCCTGGTTTGTTTAATAATGACTCTATTTCAACTGCAAAGGTTATACTGCATTAAACGGTAAAGTAATTGTGAGTGATGAATTCAGAAAGTTATATGTGTAAACAGTCATGTTGTTTTCCAAGGTACAATCCCAGTTTCTTAGAGAAACTCAGGAATATTATAAAAACCATGTCAGAATAACTGTTCACAGGGCCAAGATTTGAAGGCAGGACCTCTTGAATACAAATCACTGGTGCTCAGTACTCAGCTGGTATGTTCTTTGCATGGTATCTTGACATTGTAATGTTTACAGATATTTGGGTCTGACTTTCTTGATGAAGACGAGTGGCGATGATCCGCGTATGCAGGATTTTGTTAGAGCTGAATGGGCTTCATTTCTCAATCCAGTTGCTCTCTTGTGGCTCTTCTACATCCTTGGAATTGAATCTTATTTCCTCCTCCAGCCAAGAGTAAGTAGTTGTTATTGTTGATTCAGTGATCAGAAGAGTCACAGAAATTAAAGAAACCAACTCCAACCAGGGTTGATTTGAAAGTGCTCGTAACAGATTTGTTACAAAACAAGGAACTGTTATAACAGCACAGTTATATGGTTGAAATCAAAGCTTGGAGGAGAGCTAATGAGAAGTTGTTGGTCTGGTTTCAAAGGAGATAGGTTGTCCATGTTGTTCAAAATTATGGTTATTGCCTAATCTTTTCTGTTTTTCACAAGAGTTAGCCCACTTTGAAAAATATTAATGTTTCAGGTTATTAGTGGCTCAAATTGTGTGTTGATGGCTTCTGAACATTATAAATGATAATGTTACCAGGCACATATACTAATGGAAAAATGTTTGTCATTAAAAACCAAAGGGTAACATATGAATTGCATTTCCTTTTGTCTGAAATCACCAAATTGAAAGTATGTGCCAGAGTCTGCTTTTTCTTGTTTCCAGGCTCAAACCTTCATCAAAATTTCTTACTTTCTCACTACATTACTCTTCATTTATGTGATTTAAATTCAGTGGCAT